TAAAGCTGCCATCGTTGAGACCTTAGATCAACCATGCATGAGTCTTGGCCGTTTTTATGGAAGTAGATTGCCTTATTTCGAGTTTGGGTTCATTTGGGGGCATGCAAGCCACCAAGTTGTCGACTTTATGTATTAAGAAGTTGGAAATGAACCATATTTGTGGTTGGGACCTCTAAACTTAAGTGAATAGGAGCTTTGTGGGATTATGGCTTAATGAGTTGGTACACTGGGCGTACAAGCTCCTACGCGCAGCGTACAAGCCATGCAGCCAGTACGCTTAACGTACAGTTGAGTACGCCTCGCATACTCACTAAATTGGGCTTCACGTTGTTGGGCCTCGGTTTGGGTCACTGTCATGGATTGGTGACTTGGGCCGTGGTGGACCATCTGAAATTGGATCCTTTGGGCTAGATAATCATTATTGGGCATTGGGCTAAGGCCCATGATAAGGGATTGGGCCTAATTGTAAATAGGGCCATATGTTGGATTGTTGAACTTTTGGGCCATTAGATTGTGATTTAGGGTTTCACTCTTGGACCAAGTTAAGATAGGGGTAAAATAGTCTTTTACCCCAAGTAGGGATTTTGGTTATGAGGTAGATCCCAAATGTTAATCAGATTTTATTTGGTAATTGTTAGCTTGAGGAGCCGTAGGACCAGCAGTCAGGGATCACTCGTTTCGATCAGCTTTTCGAGGTGAGTTTCCTCACTGGGTGTAGCGAGTCTAAGGCCCCAAGGCCGACCCTTGATTGGTTATGGCAGTATACTTGTTGTCTGTGTGATACTTGTATGTAATTGGATATATATATATATATATATATATATATATATATATATATATATATTGTGCGGGGCCCATTATGCGAGTATGGGCAGGGCCCGTATCTTATTTGGGCGGGGCCCGTTATGCAAGTGTGGGCGGGGCCCGTATCTTATTTGGGCGGGGGCCATTATGCGAGTATGGGCGAGGCCCGTATCTCATTTGGGTGGGGCCCGTTATATGCTATGTATGGTATGCGGTAGTTTGGGACATACTCTGATTTTCATGATGTTTGACATTGTTGATTCATGGGTTGTATGAACTATGTGTTGGATTCCCGTTTTTACTTGTTTTAAAAATAAAATTTTTGGTTCATAATTTTGGGTTGTTTCAAATTCGATAAGCACTTAATCTTGAAGACTTCTAGTTTAACATTTCCAAAAATGTTTATAGCATCATAAAACAACATAAAAACCCTTACTTTCCATATATGCATGTCCAATGTATGTCTTGGGCTCTTATTAGGTCAAAATGAGGGTTTTTGACCAAGAATCCATGCATGATACCAAAACTCACTAAAAATCCAGATCCAAAGCACAAAACACCCCAAATGGCCTGGAGATTCATAAAGTTGCAAACTTTATGAGATCTCGCCACTCCAACAATCAAGAACATGAAGGTTTAGTGACAAAACTCAAGATCTAGCAACCTATCATGATAAAAATCGAGTCTTGACCACTTACAAAGGTCTAGAAGAATGCTACCACAAAGGAGGATGTCTTGCTTGCTGGATCTTAGCTCACTTATTCTTCTTTCTTCCTTCAGTGGCTTTAAAGAACACCAAAACAAGGCTTAAACAAAAATGGAGGGGATTAGGGTTTTCTCAAATCTCAAAGAGGCTGATGGAGGCTAAGGGTGAGCAAACCCTAACCTCCTCTTTCCTTTAAATAGGGAGCAAAACCCGGAAATAGGGTTTTGTCATTTGCCAACTACCACACCGTGGCCATATACCGCCACGTCGTGGCAGCTTAAATGAACCTGCAATGCTTCTTGATTTGCCACGTCGTGGTGCCTCCCCCACGCATGGCAAACCTTAAAATGCCAAAAAAATTAAATTTGAATTACCTCGGGATCTAGGTGTTACATGCACCGCGGTGACTAATTGACCTCGGTCAATGACATTCATTTACTTGCCACGCCATGGCGATCTGCTTGCCACGTTGTGGTACTCTTCCTCCAATAACATCCTACCTTGACCACCGCGTCGTGACACCCATATACCACGCCGTGGGTCAAAGTACCTTGCTATTCTATTAAGTCATATATCATTGAATCAATACAAATCTTAATCTATTAAGTCACAGACTTGGCCCAAAAAGCATGAAATTCCCATTTTACCCTTTTGACCAAAAATTCATCTTCTCATGCATTCTTTCTCTTGAGCTTACTCATCTAATATCATCTTAGTGACTTAAACTCTTACTGACCATTTTTATGAAGTCACAACTTCATATTCTCATCTCTTTCTCATAAGTGACCATTTTGTCCTTTTGGTCAGTATTTGACTAAAAGTCAAATCTTTCTAAATTTTAGGTTGTTACAATCTGGTCGTCCGATTGTGTGTGTTGGGTAAGGTTGTTGGAATACGAAAACGAATTGAAAGAGTTGTTGATAGGATTGGAAAGGTTGGTATTGTTTGTTGAAAAAGTGGTGTTTATGGGATATGGGATGTGCTTTGGAGCAAGTTTACAAAACCACCGAAGGGTGACTCTATGTTCAGATATTGACGATGTGTTATTTCTAGCCCAAAGTTTCAAAATTCCGATGTTGATTTGTTGGTGGAGTGTTTGTATTTTGATCCATGGTAAAGTGTCTTGACTTTTGACAAGATATATGCGTGTGTATGTGGTAGAGGAAGAGAAGAATGGTGTGGAAAAATAAGGTAGTATGTTGTTGTATTTATAAAAGTAAAATATGTTTAAGATTAGATTTTTTTTAAAAAGATTTTAGCCGTTGGATTGGATAGTCAAAACATAGTCAAAGACAAAGCTTATCTCATTTTTGATTGTGCATTGGAATATGTGGTCAAGACCACAAACCATCACGACCATGACCACGATCACCATGAAGCACTAGGATGGTGTGCAAGCTCGTGGTCACATGCTACCGTGGTCACGAAATAGGTACGTGCTAACCATACTACAAGGTCTTACTTTAGAAAATATATGAATCGTTTATTATGATACTAGACGGATTCTCGCGCGTTGCGCAGCGAAGATTAAAAATATATTGTTAAAATATTGAAAAATATATGTTTAAAATGGTTATGTTATTGACATTAACTTTGAGATTATATATATATATATATATATATATATATATATATATATATATATAATCTCAATTATTTTGAACAATAATATTCATTGACATCAACCCACATTCCTCATTAATATAATCAAATATAATTATCTATTTAGTATTATTTGTAACAATTATTATTATTGATTAATTATATTTTTACTTATGTGATCATTTTCTAATTTCAATAAAGATGTTCATTTAAAATACAATTTATTTATAGCTAAATGTAATTTATAATTTGATGTTATTATCATTTAAAATTGTTATTCATTAATTTTAAACCACTTATTATTAATAATAAGTTAAAGAACACTTTTAAGAAACACTTAATATTATTATTAAAATGTGAAACATACAGTAAATAATAAAGTGATAAGATAGACAATTTGCATTTCAAAAGAGACTTGCATGGATAATATGACATATCTATGTAATTTGATTTTATTATTTATAATTATTGCTTATTAATTTTAAAACCACTTGTTATTATTAATAAGTGAAAGAAACTTTTAAAAAGCACTTATTATTATAACTAAAATGTTAAACATATACTAAAATATAAAGTGATAAGATAGACAATTTGCATTTAAAAAAAAGCTTACATGGATAATATGGATAATATGACATATCCATGATTTTTAATTAATTATTGTTTTGAAGCAACATGAACATACAAACATGTATACAATAGTTAATAAAATATTATATATATCACATTCCATAACATATGACCGATAACATAAATCTAATCTAATTTACATTAAAATTTCAACCACAACATACAATGATATTCTTAAAAGAATTAAATCAAGAAAATACAAAAAAGAATTAGTATATAACAAACTTACAAATTAAAAACTTCAACATAATAACATGGCTCGAAAAATTGTTCAAAACACTCAAACCAACACAAAAAACTTTAAACTTGTTTTCTTTGTGAATTTTGTATGTGATTTGTATCTGTGTGTCTACTAAAAAAGATTGACCTTTTTATAGTAGAGTATCCATTAATTGTTTATTAAATATATTATATAAGTTATAAAACCTTTGAATTGTTAATCATTATTAAAAGACTTTTGAGTGGTATTCATTAAAATAAGAGGTTTCAAATGCATGAGGTGTTTGCAAATTTTTATGGGAGTTTCAAATGCATGAGGTTCAATGAAAAATGCTAGCTTTATAAGTATGTATGATAAACAATGTTTGAAAAACTGGTTTTTAGTTGAATTGGTTTGGTGACCAGTTTCTGGTTCGACCGCCAGTTCAACCAGTTTTCATAATTTTTGTCTTTTCTATTTTCCTACATACATATATAAACCAATAATTTGACATCCATAAACATAATTCTTTATCATAATGAAACTATATTATAAAACCATAAACATAACAATTTAGAAGTATCGAGCTGCAAGTTGAGAAGATCGACGTAGGACAGGTATCAGTATGTGTCGAAGTCGTGTTCGCTAGTGGTGTGCGTCTTTGATTTTTGAGTTGTGTACACTTTGGATAACTTGATCGACCGAGTTGTTCAATTTGCTTTGGAGATAGATTGTTTTTAATGGATTTAGTGAAATCTAATTATCCAAGTCCAATAAACCAATTTTATCACATCGGTTCAACCTATTTTTTCGAAGAACTATCCGGTTCAACTTGATCTAAATATTTATACAAAGCCGATTGATATTGAACCGCTCTCATCTCAATTATCGATAACATCACGTATAAATGACAAAGAACCAAAAAAACAAATGCTTTTATTTACATTTGTTGTTCTTTTGTACGGTAGGATGACTTATTTATGAATTAAATCATTAGAATTATTGGTTTTGCCCATTAGGTGTCAGATTTGTCTAGATCGAATCCTGTCCGTTGTTACAATGAACCATCGTCGTGTGGGGTCACCATACAAACCTATTCCAGCTTTTCGTTTCTGCATATATTCGGTAATTACAGTGGTCATTCCACCACCTAACCACTCCCTTAGTTTTTTAATATATCTTTACCTTAATTAATACTTTATTTTTAATATCATATACTTCCCAAAACTCAATAGACAGATATGCATTTGTAGTTCCAGTCTTCTCTCTCCCTCTCTGTCTAGGGTTTCAGAAGCGCCGCTTTTGGGCCTTTGTTTGCTGATCGGAAGGTGTTCATAAGTTAATCATCAGGTAATTATCGTTATTGTGCCCTTTATTCCGTTTCATTAGCTTTCATTGATCAATTTATTAGGGTTTGATGTCCACAAAAGTTGGATTTCCGATCTGACTATACACTGGTCAAATAATCACTTTTAAGTTCAGAATTTCATTATTTGATCTGCGCTTCTCTGCAATCGGTTTTTATTTCAGTCGTTAGTAGTTGGAAACTGTGCGGTAGCAATGATTTTGTTTTTATACGTGTAGATCCCGTCATCTATTGAACCATCGTAAGTTTTGGTCGTTTGGCTTGAGAAGAAAGTTTCGGGCTTTTTCCGACGGTTGACAGTCAATTTCATAGGATATAAAATTGTTATTTAATTGTGGTTGACCTATATGGTCTCGTTTTTCTTTTGTAAGGCTATAATTATGCTTTACGTCTCCCACTTTAATTTGAAGTTATTTGATGGCGTGACGAAGTTACATTGTATGATTAATTTGTATTCAGATTAAAGTAAATTGGGTTTGCTGATAAGTAACGCAGCCAGTTGGTTAATGAATGCTCTACTATCACTTCTGTTTCTTATTTAGGTTATAGAAAACCTATTGGTTTGGCTATTAGTGCTAGTTTTGGGGACAGTTTTTTTGAATTTTTTAGCAGAGGTGAGCTCGATTTAAGCAACAAAGTATTGGTTTGGCTTTTGTTTTTCTAATTTTTTAAAAGTTGCATACATTTCAAATTCAGTTGTTTGTAAATGTTGGAAATATGGACTTTATCTTGCTTTTGTAACGTGTTCTTGGTGTTTTTAGTTTCAAATAATCTTACCCTGTTTTTATGGTGAAACAGTGTTTGCAAGAAAAATTTATGGCATTGGAAGTTACCCAAATTCTGTTGAATGCACAAGCTGTTGATGGATCTGTTCGGAAGCATGCTGAAGAGAGTTTAAAGCAATTTCAGGAGCAAAATCTACCTGGATTTCTGTTATCTCTCTCTGGAGAACTTGCTCATGATGAGAAGCCTGTTGATAGTCGTAAACTAGCTGGTTTGATTCTGAAGAATGCTTTAGATGCAAAAGAGCAACATAGAAAGTATGAACTCATCCAAAGATGGTTATCACTTGATGTGGGTGTTAAATCACAAATCAAGACATACCTATTACAGACACTCACCTCTCCTGTTCATGAGGCAAGATCAACCGCATCACAAGTTATAGCTAAAGTTGCTGGAATAGAGCTTCCACAAAAACAATGGCCTGAGCTCATTGGCTCCCTTCTATCAAACATTCACCAAGTCCCTGTTCATGTCAAGCAAGCCACTTTAGAAACTCTTGGGTATTTGTGTGAAGAAGTTTCTCCAGATGTTGTAGAACAAGATCATGTGAATAAAATCCTGACAGCTGTTGTTCAAGGCATGAATGCAAGTGAAGCTAGTAATGATGTCAGACTTGCTGCAACTAGAGCACTTTACAATGCTCTTGGTTTTGCTCAAGCAAATTTCACCAATGAAATGGAACGTGATTATATTATGAGAGTTGTTTGTGAAGCAACTTTATCTCCAGAAGTAAAGATTCGCCAAGCAGCTTTTGAGTGTTTGGTTTCCATCTCATCTAGCTACTATGAGAAACTAGCTCCTTACATTCAAGATATCTTCAACATCACTGCTAAAGCTGTTAAAGAAGACGAAGAGCCAGTGGCTTTACAAGCAATTGAATTCTGGAGTTCAATTTGTGATGAAGAGATTGATATTTTGGAAGAATATGGAGGCGACTTCACTACTGCTGACTCAGACATTCCTTGTTTTTACTTCATAAAACAGGCTCTCCCTGCACTTGTTCCCATGTTGCTAGAGACTTTGTTGAAGCAAGAAGAAGATCAAGATCAAGATGAAGGTGCTTGGAATCTTGCAATGGCAGGAGGAACCTGTCTTGGTTTAGTTGCAAGAACAGTAGGGAATGATATTGTTCCACTTGTGATGCCTTTCATTGAAGAAAACATAACAAAACCAGATTGGAGACAAAGGGAAGGAGCTACTTATGCTTTTGGATCCATCTTGGAAGGTCCTTCACCCAATCAGTTGACTCCTTTAGTCAATGTTGCTCTAAATTTCATGCTCACAGCTTTGACCAAAGACCCCAGCAACCATGTAAAAGACACCACAGCTTGGACACTCGGAAGAATATTTGAATTTCTTCATGGATCCACCATGGATACACCCATCATCACCCCTTCAAATTGCCAACAGATCATCACTGTTCTTCTCCAAAGCATGAAGGATGCTCCAAATGTAGCTGAAAAAGCTTGTGGGGCCCTGTACTTTCTGGCACAGGGTTTTGAAGACGTGGGTCCCTCGTCTCCATTGACTCCATTTTTCCAGGAAATTGTTCAGTCTCTTTTGACTGTGACTCACAGAGAAGATGCTAACGAGTCTAGATTGAGAACTGCTGCTTATGAAACATTAAATGAAGTTGTGAGATGCTCTACTGATGAAACGATTCCCATGGTGTTACAGTTAGTCCCTGTCATCATGATGGAGCTCCACCAGACTTTAGAAGAACAGAAGCTCTCCTCTGATGAAAGAGAGAAACAGAATGAGTTGCAGGGTCTTCTGTGTGGGTGTTTGCAGGTGATCATTCAAAAACTCGGAGCATCAGATGCAACAAGATACCCCTTCATGCAATACACAGATCAAATCATGAATCTTTTTCTTAGGGTTTTCGCATCCCGGAGTGCCACTGTTCATGAAGAAGCAATGCTTGCAATTGGAGCTCTAGCATACGCAACGGGTCCTGATTTTGCAAAATTCATGCCGGATTTTTATAAATATTTAGAAATGGGACTTCAGAATTTTGAAGAGTATCAGGTCTGTGCTGTGACTGTAGGTGTGGTGGGTGATATTTGTAGGGCTTTGGAGGAAAAGGTGTTGCCTTGGTGTGATGGGATTATGACTCAGCTTCTTAAAGATTTGTCAAGCAACCAATTGCATCGATCCGTGAAGCCTCCGATTTTTTCTTGTTTTGGTGATATTTCGCTTGCGATTGGAGAGAATTTTGAGAAGTATTTGATGTATGCCATGCCTATGCTCCAGAGTGCTGCTGAGTTGTCTTCACATACTTCAGGTGCTGATGATGAGATGATTGAGTACACAAACCTCTTGAGAAATGGGATTTTGGAGGCGTATTCAGGGATTTTTCAGGGGTTTAAAAACTCTCCCAAAACTCAGCTGCTGATTCCTTATGCGCCTCATATCCTTCAGTTTCTTGATCTGATGTACATGGAGAAAGACATGTAAGTTCTTGTTTCATTTGTATTTGAGTGTTTATTTTTGACATGTGATTTATTTGTATTTGAATAATGATATCAGGGATGAAGTTGTGATGAAAACAGCAATCGGTGTTCTTGGAGATTTAGCAGATACTCTTGGAAGCAATGCGGGTTCATTGATTCAACAATCTCTTTCAAGCAAAGATTTTCTGAATGAATGTTTGTCATCAGATGATCATATGATTAAGGAATCTGCTGAATGGGCCAAGCTCGCAATCTCTCGTGCAATTTCCGTTTAAGTCCCTCTGCCTGGCAGTACATAATATTATTTTTTGCTTTTCATGCATATGGTCGGGTCGGGTCGGGTCATATCACACCATTCATGTCAAGCTGACAAGGGCGAAATAGTAATATCAAGCTAAGGGCTGATTCTTTTTCAAATTCACATCGTGTATCTCGATTCAATCCTCAGAAAGAGTACATGAATGAATGAATTAGCCCGTGTCATGTGTCGTCTTGGTGGGGTCCACAGTGGTTTTGGTTGTCTGGGGGAGAGGGGGGGGGGGGGGGGGGTATATTACCTTTTACATTTGCATCACATCATACATTTTTTCTTTCCTTTTATTATTTCGTTATATTTTTTTTTATCTTCTCATTTTGAGTCTGGGTCACATCACATGTGCATTATTTAAAGCCAGGTAGGGGGTTGGCCGCATTACATTTAGGAAGCTAGTTTTTTTGTTTTTTTTTTTGTCAGTCGTCGGTAGGTGTTTTTGAATTTATTTGAAAATACAATGCATTCATGAAATCATGTTTGTTTTTTTTTTTTCTGGTCTAAAAACTCGAAGCATATAGTTTTCTTTGTCAAAAATCATGTGTAAATCCTGTTTTGGTTCCCGATTTGTAGAGAGAGAGAGAGAGAGAAAATGGCATTTTATACAGAGAATGTCACTGCTTGTGATGAAAGAGAGTTCGTGGGAATAGATTTCTTTCAAACTGTTGGTAAGGAGAGAGATTGATTGCTTTTTGTAATTTTGGTTCGGGTTTTATTTGGAATCAAATATTTGTACTGCTTTTTTGTTTGTTTTCATGTATAAACCTTTTCAAGTGTCGACCCTTTTGTTGGTTTTATTAGATTTTAGAAAAAAAAAGCCTAATGTTATGGTGTGAAAAGGTTGATGGCGACACATATAGTGAGTGCAATGTATCATGCTTCCTGAAAAAGTGTTGCACAAATAAAAACAACAAACGTGGCGTGTAGAAGAGTATACGAGTCACTTCACACTGTTTGTGGGATGAAAACGCCCAACTCCAACTCACCAAAAAACAACTTTTCGTACTTGTACTGTGAAAAAGCGTATAATATGATAAATGATAAAAAAGTAAAATGAAAAATTTCAAACTTTGTCACTTTTAATAGGTTGTAAATGAAAAATATGATAAATTGATCAAAATTTCGAGATCCGAGTGGAATGAAGACAGCCTTAGATATGAACAAGGCTAGATAGCAACGCGATTCATATTTGTGTTCAATGTTTTTGGTTATTGTATTTCGATTTACCATTTGTTGGTCATGTCAATTGTTTGAATATGACCTTAAATACAGAATTTAAAAGCAAAATTGCAGAACGTTTCATATTTTTGTTCAATTATTGTGATTCTTGTATTTTGTATTACCATTTGTTGGTAAAATCAATTGTTTGAATATGTCTCGAGTTAAAATTGAGAAAAGTTTATGTTTGATTGTTATTTTTGTATAAAAATATAAGTTGTCTAAAAGGAATATGGCTCTGCCCATTATCAATTTGGCCCTTGTAATTTTTTAAATATGTTTTGGAGGTCTTTCAAGATTTTCAAATTTGGGAAGCGCAACTAATATTTACAGCAATTGTGGTCAATTATGAGGATGCAGTTTAGATTTACATCTTTGCAAAGGAAATTTTCAAGTTGTTACACTTACAAATTACAATATCATGGGTGATTTGGAGGTTTTGTAATAACACTTTTTGAAACGGAAAAGGACAACTATTCTTGATTTCATTGACACACATGCTTTTTTCTGGTTAAAAGATAGGAGTAAAAAACTTACAATCAATTGGGTAGGATGACTTCATAGTCCTTGTAATGTTGTAATTTGTAAATTCCTTTTAAACTCCTTTTACTTAGTGTGTTGCTAGGTTTTTCGATTTATATTTTGCCGTTAAAAGAAATAATAATGTATTGGAGGTCTTTTTCCTACAAAAAGGGACAACTCGGCATTGCTGAAATATTAGATATCATAGCACAATTTTTGTTTAGTTGTCATGGTCAAATAACAATGATAGTCACAAGTTTGTAGTCATTAACACTTACGTGTAAGTGCTAAAACTTTTTATGCAGATGACCACATACTAAGCATTTCCATGTAAGGTCAATTACTCGCATATACCACTAATGCACCATGTTTTTTTTTTTTTTTTTTTTGGAGTCTAGAGGAATAGGTAGTCAAACCTTGCAACCAATGTAATCCCAAATGTAATAAAAGAATATGTTTATTATTTTTTTTGTCATGTGTCATCCTATTTGGCCTCCTAATTAATGACGTGCTATTTGTCAACTAATTGATTTTCCATTTTAAATTTTCCACTCTAATTATATTAAACTAAAAATAACATTAAAATTAAAATTAAAATAAAATTAATACAGATTATAAGGTGATAATTTCACGTATTTATTTAAATCAACGATTTTAATTTTATATAACTAAAAAAATATCTCTTAATTAATAATTTATTTAAAATAAATGATTAATAATTTGAGTTTTTATTATAAAATTAATTAATTTTGTAACTGTGGTTCCACATGTTATAAACTAGTAGCTAATAAAGAGTCACCATTAACTTTACACAACAAATAGTATGTACATATATTTTCGGAACAAGTAAGATTTTATAAAACTAGCAAGTGACTAAAATAATAAGAAGTATTAGAAAGAAAAATAACATTAATCCGGTCGTGAAGCCAACAACCAAATTAATTTATAGTTTATAACACTTCTATTGAAAATCCAAAAGAAAGATTGCGAGACAATGTTATTAAAAATAATAGTTTTTCTTGGTTTAACCGCTCAAAAAACCGCCTCGTTCCGAAATTTCCAAATGGTCCAAATGGCCATGAGAATCACTGCATCAAGACATTTTTTTGGATCGCACGAATACTAATACGAATTTTCCATCTATGAACTCCATGAAATTAGAAACAGTCGAGATATCAATATTTCATCATCGGGAAATCTAGCACCAAATAGATGTTGCAATTGGACAAGAGAATAAAATATTATCCAACTAGGTTATAACCCGTGGAAACCACGGTTGGTATATTTAAAATTTTTATATAGATAAAAAAAATTATTAAATCTAAAAAAAACCAAGATATTGTCGATTGTAAGTAATTATGAATTAATTTGTTAAGCAAAATAAACATAATAATGTTATTAGGATATGATTTTGTATTTTTAAAATTTGAATTGAATTTGATTCGTTACCAAAAAAAGGAAATAATAAAAATCATAGAAAAATGCCACGTGTCAAAGAGACATTCTAAAAAACTGACACGTGTCATTTTTAGGTTTAATTTATTAGTAGAGGTAGAAGTTTATATGTGTATCACAAAACACACATATAAGTGAATCCACCTCTGTTTGTTGTTTGTCAAAATTAACTTTAGCATGTAATTTGTTCAAACGTATTCTCCAAGCAACAAATTCAACTTGATTGGAACCAAGTAGTTCCATTGAGCTGGGGGTATCTCCTTTCAAACGTCCTAAAATTTAAAATTTTAAGATGTCACGATACAAAAGAGGCAATATAGACAAATCAAGCATGACACTTGTGTATGGTGATATCTATGATTTATGTTACATAATATTGTTTAGAATGAATAAAAGAATATTTTAATGATAGGATTGACATTGATGCAAGAAATAAGTGTTCAAAATCTAAGCATTTGATAACTTTACAAGGACAACATCATAGTATTTTAAAAATAGGGCAACTTGTAAGCAATGCCAAAGCTCCAATGGTCAAGTTATAATGTTTTGATGACCGAATAAGTTGTAAGATGTGTATGAATGGAAAAATATATATTTAGAACTATGGCTATACAATAGATATAATATATATTTTGATATGTTGATCTAGTTTTAACTTCTTACAAAGTGGGACAAAAATGATGAATGTGAGAAATACATTTTGTAACGATATTTAGCATTTGAAAACCAATTCAAGACCTTAAATAAGGTTATATGTGGTAAGAATAAAGTTTAGTAGACATATGTAATTGTAAATAGATAATCAAAGACAAAAAAACGGTTAGGGTTTATTATTCAAAGGAAACATTGATTACAAAAAGCGGCTAGGAAAAATTGATTACAAAAAATAAATAATACTAGATAGGAAATCTATTCAGGATTAGCCTAACTAAAAGGCTAAATAAAAGGCCCGATATAAAATAAGCCTAAAATACTCTATTACGATAACATCTCCCCTCAAACTCACAATGAGACAATAATAAGCATTAAGAGTTTGTCGATCAAGAAGCGAAATCGAGATATCGGTTGATCCTTCATGAAAATATCAACAATCTGCAAGGCTCATGACACATATGGTTGGTAGATGGTTCCAAGCTCAAAATGATGATGTGTGAAATGAAAGTCAATCTTAATATGTGTTGTCAGCTCTTGGAAAACAAAATTCTTTGCAATCCACATCGCACTGTTGTTGTCACAATGTAAGTGGGTCGGCTGAGAAATAACAACACTCATATCTTCAAAAAGACAATGTAACCGAGAAATCTCACAAGTAGGCACAACATACACGATAATCAACTTCCGTGGAAGAGCGAGAAACAAACATCTTGCTTATTACTTTTCTAGGAGATTAATGAATCTCTAAGGAAAATACAAAAAACAATGGTGGACTTGTGATCATTAGGATCGCTATCCTAATCAACATCACTTTAGGCATACAATTTTAGAGAAGGCGTAGAAAGGAACAAGAGACTCTAAAACTAAGTCCCACAAAGATATCCCAAAATACGAAGAACAACTCCCCAATAAATAGTAGTAAGAGCATTAACAAACTGGATAACCATATGAACTGCATGACCTATGTCGAGGTGAGTGGCCGTAAGGTAAACCAGATTAACCAAAATAGTATGGTATAAGCTTAGATATGATAAAGGAACACCATCGGTCGTAGAATACTAGACATTGGTTTCAATGGGTGTGTCAACAGTCCAATTGTCAGTGAGCTCTGCATGTTCAAACAAATCATATATGTATTTCGACTGAAATAAAAGATAACCCTTCTAAGATTGAGTAAACTCAATACCTAAAAAAATAATGTAGTCCCTAAGTATTTAATTGAAAATCGATGAGCTAATTCATGCTTTAAAGGTTCAATACCAACATAGTCATCACTAGTAATAATCACATCATCTACATATATGGACAAGAGAATCAGACCTGCACTCGTGCATCAAACAAACAATGCCGAAACATGATTACTGGGAACAAAACCAAGAGAGGTAATTAATATAGAGAAGTTCTCATATCAAGCTCGAGGAGCTTGTTTGAGACATTATATAACTTCTGAATTCAACAGACTTCACCCGATGGTGATTAATACTGATATGTGCTAAATTATACATGTTTTATAGAGATTTTATGGGCATTTTATAAGTAAAAAATGAAAAAAGGTGCTTAATTTCTTTATGATGACGCGCCTCCTAACACGGGCTAGGAGCAAGATCTCCAAGTCGAAGGATCCTCCAGTTAGCCCAGCCTGGACACCCCATCAAGAGCTCCAGCGCCCGGGTGTTCCCTCAGGGTGGGACACCCGCGCGAGAGGTCTGGCCCCGTCAAGAGCACCCCCGCTACAGGACAAATACAATGGATCCATGCGACAAAGAGTATGCCCAGAGCATTATCGCCTGAGCCAATCGTTGGCCTCGACACAGTAGGGGACACGATTAGCCAATCGGAGTAATGGATCCTGTCGGAACTGCAATCCTTGTTCCCTGTATGGAACAACGAGGATCCATAGTATTAAAGGGCCTCCCTTTCGCCTTGAGAAGTAAG